GCGGCAGGGCCGCGGGCGCCCCGCCCGGGCTGGTATGCGGCCGAGAGTGACGCGGGAGGCGGGTCACGTGACGCCCGTGGAATGCCAACAATGTAGCGAATGTCCCACTTGGGTCTGCGCGTAGGAACCGCGGCGTGAGCGCCCCGGGAACATGGAGCAGCCGCCGCCCGCACCACCGCCGTCAGGGGCCCCCCGTTCCCCGCGGGGCCCGCAGCCACTTCAGCCGCCCGCGCCCGGCCCCCCGGCGCACGAGGCCCCGGAACCGCCGGCGAGGACGTCCCTGCGGGTGTAAACCGCGCCCCAGAGGTGAGGGGACTGGGGCGGGGGGCATGTAGCATGGACAGTGCAGCGAGGTTGCGAGTCTCCGCCGGCCGAGAGCCCCCGGGCTCCCGCGTCCTCCCACGGGCTGCGGCTCCGGGGCCGAAGAGGGGCGGGGAGCGGCGGAGGAAGTTTGTCGGGACCGGACCCCGCGCCCTGCCCCCATGGTCTCCTCTGGTCCCGGGTCGGCGCCGCCCTCGCCCGCGGCGCTCCTGCTAGGCGTCGGGAGTCGCCTCGCCCCTTGCCGCGGGGCTGCGGAATCGGGGCGATCGCGGAGATGCTGCGCTTTGTTGTGCGCGGGCGGCGGCGTCGCGGCGACCTGGCCTTCTCTAGAGGCCGTCAGTGCCGGGCCTCCCGCCTCCGCCGTCCCGGGAAGCTGAGCTCCGAGTTCGGACGCCTCGACAGGCGGGCGGGCGGGCGGCCTGACAGCCCCGTGGCCCCGCGTCGGGCTGGCTGCGGTCCCCCGCCTCCGTCACCCCTGGAGGTCGCGCCGCCGTCCCCACCCCCACCCGCTCGGGGCGCGCTGTCGGTTCTGGTCGCCGCCCCTCCTCGAGGCCGCGCAGTCGTGTCCCTCCCCGCCTTCCGCGCGGCCCACCCTCCCTCCCCCTGGAACCCGCGACGCCGCGGCCACCCCCGCCCCGGAGACCGTGCTGTCGTCCCCCCTGGGCCCTCCGAGGGCGGGGGAGCCAGGCTCGGTTTGGGTGTCCCGGCCGCACCGCCCGGACCTTCCTGAGTGCCCGACGGTCTTCGTCCGCTGCAGCCAGAGCTCGGGGGCCTTTGGGCGGCTCGTGGGAGCAGCGGCTACTGCGTGCACATTCGCTGCGCGCGGGCTCGGCCCACCTCGGAGCCGGGCTTTTCTGATGCAACCTCCGCGCCGTTAGTCCCCAGCTGGACGCTTGCGGACGCGGATTGTAGTTTACGAGTAACTTTTTGCCAGCCGCGTCTCCTTACTTCGAAACTTCAGGAGAGCAGCTTGCGGCCGGCACTGGCCGGCCTCCGGCTTGGGCTGGAGTGCTGCCGGCAATCGAACTTTGGTTTGTAAATTCCAAGTCCCTGGGGGCAGGGGAAGGTTGCATCCCCCAAAGGAGCTAGAGCACATCCGACGGCTTGGGGCTTGCGGGGTCCTGGGCTGCTGGCAGCAAATTCTGAGGCCCTCGACTGAAAAGTGCTCGTTTTCAAGCATCTCCGTTCAAGTCCACTTTACTTGTAGCTTTTGTTATGTTGACAAAATTTAAACAGAAATTTTTGCATTTTCACACACGTGGAATAGACCTATCCTACACATCACACTTACGTATCTTGATGTAATAATAGGTAATCTGGGCCTTTAAAAATGATTTAACTGTTAAAAAAGGGACCATACACTTCACTGGTAAAAATTCACGGGCCATATACCTTTCCCACAAAATATTTAAGTTAATTTAAAAGGCAAGTTTGTCCACGTTTTACTGAGAAACTGAAACAGCTTGTGAGTGCCAAAATGTGTGTGATCTTCGTATAGGTGTTCTGTTTAAATTTTAACTTGGTAGAGAAGGTCTCTTCTATTAATAGAGAAAATAACGAATGGCATGTTATTAGGAAATTTGTACTAAATAGATTTTGCCGCACATTTTAGTTAAACCTTAGTTTAAATCACTGTGTGATAGGTGGCTATTTTTTGAGTATTCAATCGAGACTAAATTGCTTTGTATCTTTTAAGTATTTTCTTTAGCAACTGTTGTGGTAAGGTAGTAACAGAAACCTTCCAAAGTTAACGCAGAATGTTTAAGAAATTCTCTTTTAAGACGCTGTGTTATTCAGCCTCTCGTAAAATTTGGTCTGATTAGCCACATATATATAGAGTTGTTTAATGAAGATGCCAGCATTTCTTTGAAATTAAAATTGTTGAACATTTAATAAACATTAAGATGTCAAGCAATTTGTAAAAGTATTTGAGCAGAAGGCACCACACAGGATTATCAAGGTAAATTTCTAGATTAAGGGATTTTAGAACTGGGAAGGATTCTTATCTCCGTCTAGTTTGAAATAGTTTTGAGAGTAAGTGTGAATTGGAGCACTACATATTTCTTTCCTTAGCAAATCACAGGGTCGGTGGGAGGGATTTTCCTTTTAGTGGGAGGGAAATGTTTTTACAAAAAGATGCCTTGTTATTTTAAATACTATGTTGTAAATAGCCTGCTCTAGGCTCCTAAATTCCTCTGTGTGTGTGAGGGTTGGGGGAGGTGTTGACGCTGATAAATTCAACTTCAACACACTGAGAGGATTTGGCGAGATTTAGGGGGCCGGGTGTTACACTTCCAAAGTATGGAAAAAACAGAAGAGACAGTTGTTGAAAAGCTACTTTTGTATTTAATTTCATCGCTACCATGTAAAACTTTTCAATAATATTCCTTACTGATTTTTTTTAAATTGGTTTGAGAAAATACAGAAGATAAATTGGGTGTGTTTACTTTGTTTTGGTCCAAAATCTTCTCAGAGTACCAAAATATCCTGATAGCAGAAAGAAGGGGTTGGATTAGATAATTCCTGAAATGATTGATTGACTTCAAGCTACAAATAAACTTCGAATCTCCTTCTATTTAAAAAAAAAAAAAGTTGATGTTTTAGTAATTCCTCCAAATTGCACACATTTGGGATTACCATTCCCACTGTCTGCCGGGTAGCTGTCATCCTATGGTTCTGTGAAATGTGACCAATTATTACATAGAATGCCCTTAGTGGCACCTGCAATTTGCAGGTAGAGGTACTTGGCCAATTCTTTTCACTGAGTTAGCTAGCTCTTCTCCCAATACTTTTTTGTTTCTCCCAACACTTTTAAGGTTTATGTTATTTGACTTACAGTTTCATTTTGAAAGTATTATTAAAACAAAGTAATGTTGTAAATAAAGATAACGGTAATGTTGCTAAGTTAGAATGGACATTTGTCATTTTATGTTTACCATTCACCATGTGCAAACTTTGTCACTTACACCATTTTGACTATGTCAACCTAATTGTTACAAGTGTTTTTTAAAGTTAGTTAATACTTTCTGTTCATGTACCCATGTTTAATAAGAATTTTTCTGGGAGACAAATGAAACATCTCAGATTTTTAATAGTGGCTTGTTGCATTTGTTGTTAAGTAATTGTTATGCTTGTGGCACTGAGCAGATTGTATGACTTCTAAATTAGGGTGGTAAGGATCTTCTTAAGAATGTAAATTGGCTTTTGAATGGAGCAGGCCTCTGTTTGGAGCATTGGCCTCTCAGCCTCCAGGCAGTTATCTGAGCTGGAATGCTAAGGACCAGCATGTTCCATTACTAATTAACTCCATCCTACCTCATAAGTCTCACTCTTGTGTTTCCGTTCAAATGTACTCAGATAACACCTGCCCCCCCCCCCACATTGTCTGCCTATTCATCTTTCTCTTCTGTGTTTGAGCCTTTTCACAGGAAGTTCCAGATTCCAAGAATAGCTTCACACTTCCTCCATCAAATCAAAGTCCTTTAGTCTTTACAATTTTGATTAAATGATCCTTTCTCTAGGAGTCTTCCTTGAAATAGACTGGTATTCTTTCTGTCCGTAAATTAACTCTCAGTTGACATGGGTGTTCAGACTCCCAAATTGGGGTAAATATGAAACTTGGATGGGGGCTGGGTAACAGGAAGCATGGCTTTTTTCAAAGATTGAAAATCCCTGTAGATTGTGGAATAGAATATAAGGAGACTCCTTATAAGAAATGCTGCAAAGAGCAGATAAAAAATTTGCCTACAACTTGATCATTCCATGTAGATATCTCAACTACACGCCTCAGCATTTTCTGTGCTATTATTCATACATCTGTGTCATACGAATACCACGTATCAATACAAAAATAATAGAAAATGTGATTTGCTTTTCCTCTGAATTGCAGACTTAGAGGTGGGACCCCATTGTACTTGGGTGAAACCTATTAATGTCTAGCATAGTGTTTAGCAGTTCTACACCTGTAGGGACCTTCTGATGATACTATTTACTGGAGAGTTTTCTTGGCTCCCCAAAGGAATCACTGGTTTCAGTACAAATCCTTGTTATGAGGGGTAACTACCCCTGTAGTATGATTTCCTGGGCTGGACAGTATTGGAGGGTATATCAGCATGGTGGTTTCTAATTTTAACATTCAGCATCTGATTGGGTATTTGTCTAGCCTAACCTGACTTAGTTTTAATTTTCCTGAAAGGTTGTGATTAAATAGTAGGTAAAATTTTAGGTACAAGAAATAATGTTTTTAAATGTTAACTTGTGTCAGTAGTGTGGAGACACAGGTATGATTGGTTCCTTGGTGTTTGATATGATTGGCAGTCAGTGTGGATTCATAAAGAATTAGTAGGAATTGGAATAAAAAATACTGAACTTCTGACACCATTTTCTATTATTAGGTTAAGAATTAGAATTGAATACAGTAGGGCCAAATTAAGTGATACTTAAAAAAATTATACTAAGTATATAGTTTAGTATTTGTCTCAGCTTAAGGTTTTGAAAACAAGGTGTTTTTGTTTTGAGTTGTGTTTCCCTCGAACTCTTGCTGCAGTGGCTGGCAATAGCTTCATAGTGTTGATACTTAACCCCTTGCATCACAAGGGAAGCACTGATTAGTTATTTAAACTTTCAGTATTTTATAGTTTCTTTTAGAGTACATTTCACTCGATTGAAGATGCCAAAGAAATTTGCAAAATTTTATTTACATTGCTTGGTGCCCTTGCTTTATATATGTATGTATGTATGTATGTATGTATGTATGTATGTATGTATATGTGTATACATGTATGTATATATATGTGTGTATATATATAATAGTTTATTTTTTACATCATTTTTGCATTTTTTTATCTCATGTTGTAATCCCTGTGGGTTTCCCATCAGCAAATCACCCTGTGCCATCACCATAGTCTAGTGCATTTCCCTCCCCCCGCTGTTTATGATCCCATTCCCCATTCCACCCCCATAAAATGTCTCTGGTATATATCTGT